TAAAGCCATGTACTACCATGCCTGACAAGGATTATTATTTTTTTTTTAAGGATTAATTTTTTTTAAAAAAGGAAAGAAAGGAAAGGAAGACCTTGTACCAAACAGAAGCCCAGAGTGCCAGAATAGCAGCTTTTCTGTCATACAGAATAGAACTAAAGGCCACAGAAAGCCAGACAAACAAACAAAAAACAGCACCATAAGATCCAAGGAGGATGTTATTTAGTGTTAGAAGATGCAGCAGTTTAAGAGGACATGAATGTTTATGCTGTCAACAAAAACCTCTACCTCAAAAAGCAATGAGTACTGGTAATGGATGGTGACCACAGAGAGTAGGATTAGCATTAGGACATACTGAAAGTCTACACAAAGGGCACTGTCTTGTTGATGTGTGAACCTCTTAAGTGCCACCTCTTCAGCTCCGCTCCACATCTGAAATGCCTCTGCAAAAAAAATGGCAAGATCAAAGCAAGCCAGCAAGCCCAGGCCCACCCCCTCACCACAGCGGCCAGGTGTGCAGCTCAGAGGTGGGGCATGCTGGCCTTGGGCATTCAATCTGCAGTGCTACCAAAACAACAGAAAACTAAGACAAGAGCCTGGGCTATGGCTCAGTGGGTAAAGGAACTTGCCAGAAAGCCTGATGACCTGAGTTTGATCCCTGGGACCCATATGGTGGAAGGAGAGAACTTACTTTCACAAGTTAGCTTTGACCTCTACATGCTCTCTCACTTCCTCTCCACTTCACAATAACTAATTAAATGTGAACTTTTTTTAAAAAAAGACAAAAACAACTTTCTATAGACCAAGTCTACAACAGTCTGTGATTTAATAGTCAGTCCAACATCCCAAAGCATGGAAGTGATGAATAGTTTAGGAGACAAAGTAACTTGAATTGATCATGACACATACAAACCAAATTATTGCTGTGTACCCAGTAAGTATGTGTGGGCATTACGTTCCAATAAAAACACCCACCGATGCCTGTCTCTAAAGCCACAGCAGCCCCTCCTCCTGCTTGGGCACTGCACCTAGAAGCTCCTGTGCTGGGAGGAGCCTTTCATCACGCGTGTTTGGTCTCAAGTGTCCCTTCTGCCAGCTGAAGGATGTCCATGTCCTCTGCAGCTCTGTCACGGCAGCTAGACTGCTCTCCCTTTTCCCCTGGGATTGGGCCTGTACTCGCCACAGGTTAGTCTGTCTGGGGCAGTCAGGAAGTGGGGACGAGCAGAGTCTAGATTCATAGACATCTAGAGTCTGGGAGGACAGCCAACCCACACCAGCACCTCCTTCCAGCCTCGATAATGCTGGTCACCGGCTTTGGCATCACTTGTACCACACACACATTGGTCCTTTCCTCAGGGACATATGTAAATGCCTACAGTCCCAGCCCTAGGGAAGGTGGAGACAGGAGGATCCCTGGTGTTCCCTGGACAGCTCTAGGGTCACTGAGACACCCTATCTCAGAGAAGAGAAAAGTCATTGAGGAAGACACCTGACATGAACCTCTGGCTTCCGTACGCATGTGTGCTCACACACACCAGGATATGTGCATGCCCAGGGAATCTAGCTGGTGCTGCAGCTCAGTGGTAGAATGCTTGAGAGGCCCCCATGCATGCCGCCACACACATACACACGTGAAAAAAGACAAAGTTATGGAAAATCTCTTCAAAACAGTCTCAAGCCCAGGGGGATTCATGGTGCATCATGAATAAGATGCTTTTCATCTGTCAATGTGCTATTTTAACATTTGTCCCTGGTTACTAGTCGTGTGTGTGTATGTGTGTGTGCTGAGAGTGTGTGTGTGTATATCCACAGTGTGTATTCTGAGTATGTGTATCCCGAGTGTGTGTATCTATATTGAGTATGTGTGTGCTAAGTGAATGTGTGTGTGTGCTGTGTGTGTGTTTGCTGAGCCTGTACGCTGAGGCTTTATGGATGCTAAGTGCTATACCACTGAGCTGCAAGCCCAGCTCAATGAAAGTATCTTTGTTAATTATACTGAAATCAGAATATATGCATGAAATCAGAGATGTTTCTTTGCTTACTCTCTTTTCAGATAGCAATTGAAATTGACACTCCTACCCAGATACCTTTAGTTGATGAGGCATCCGGTGAGGTAACTATATAGTAAATATTTTTTCTCTTAGTGTGGAAATGGTTATTTAACTTTCTTTTTAATTTAGAACGCTCATTTATTCATAATTTATGAATGAAGTAAATTTGTAGAAAAACATCCACAACATCTGTGTTTTGATCTCTGTGTAGTAGGTTCTCCCACTGTGGGCCAGGGCTCTGTTGTTGTGGCTGGATGCTCTCACTGTGAGATGCTGTCACTGTGGCCGGGAGGCTCTCACTGTGGGGTGCTGTCACTGTGGGATGATGTCACCATGGGGTGCTCTCACTGTGGGTTCGGATGTTCTCACTGCACCCTGGATGCTGTCACTGTGGGATGCTTTCACTGTGGGATGCTCTGTCACTATGGGATGCTCTGTCACTGTGCCCTGGATGCTCTCTCACTGTGCCCTGGATGCTCTCATGGTGGGCTCTCAACAGTAGACTGGCATTTTCTCACTGTGAGTGATAGTTACCATGTTCAGGTGTCCTCACACTGGGAGAAGTAAAACAGTTCCCCTCTAAGGGCACAAATCTATTTACTGGGAGGTTAATTTCAAATGATTCTTGATTAATTTCCCTAGGGTTACCATTTTAACCACAAGCTTCAGCAGGTGGAGACGCCCAGTCATAGAGTGCTGACATTATTACCAACATTACAAGGATTAAATTTGGCATAGTTATTTATTTTTGCCCAAATTATTTCTTTTTCTTTTTAGTTTTATATGCTCATGATGAGAAGGTTGTTTGTTAATATTACAACAATGTGATAATGTGTCATTATCACATTTATAAAGTTTCTTATTAAATTCAAGTATAATGGCTATCTTCTTTTTAAATTAGTTTCTAAATTCAAAATAACAGCTCTGCCCAAGTGAATAAATTTATTTTTTCATCCTTAAATTTAGAGCTAGTTCTTTATAGATGTATTATTTTCAAATGTAAATAAGACTACAGATCTGCATTAAACAAAACAAGGCAAACCCCCATTTAAACAACATCAAAGACTCAGAGGGGTTTTACTGTTTTCTGGCAGCTACGGTTAGCAGTCTGTTATAGTGTCATCATGTGTGGCTTCTCTGTGTGGAACTCTGAGGGTCCTCCATGTGTGTGCCCACGATCAGAAGAGAGGTGGCCTTTATATGTTTCTCCTTAGGAGAAGGTCACAAACATTCTTCAGCATTTCACCCTGATAGAGCCAGGTTTAGGTGAGGATTAAAACTGGGAGACCTGGAGGGACAGTGGGAGAGCAGTCCTGAATCTTTGCAAGTATGACTTGGGAGGGAAGGATATTAGTGGCCTTGTCACTTGCAGATGCTTCCTCCAAGCCCAGGGATGAGCTCAGTGGCAAAGCAAGTTCTTGGGAGTGATCTTGCTGTGCCGTTGCTTAAGTGTCTTGTCCAGCCCTAACTGGGAGACCCCTATTGAAAGGGTCCTGCAGGATGAGTAGCACAAGAAGTGGGTGAGGAGTTATTACTAAACAGTGAGTCACTGCAGACAGAGCTCTGTCCCCTCCTGTGCAGGGCTGGAGAGTCAGTGGTGCCCAACAGGCTCTGTCCTGAAGGGACGATGCCATGTACAATGAGATGAGCGGGGACCAGTCTTCACCTAGTCCTCTTTTCTTTTAATAGTGGCATTATTTTAATATTCATTGTCACACAATTCACCCATTTGAAGACCTGGCAGTTCTGATGTACTCATGGAGCTATCTGTATACCAGCACAGTCAGATTTGTTTGTTTGTTTGTTTGTGTGAGTATTTTCATCACCCAGAAACTCAGTACCTGTTACAGGTGCTCCTCTCCCTTCCTGGCACAGTCTCTGGCAACTACCATTTTTCTTCTGTCTTTTTGGCCCTGCCTATCTGTGGGATTATTATACATCATGTGACTTTTTTCTCACTGTTTTCTCAGAGGCATCCATGTGTATGGATGGCATTCATGTATAGACGCTTATCTTTATGGCCAGATAGTATTTATTTCATGGTGTGGACAAACCACATGCTGATATCCATTCATTGGTTGCTAGGTATTTTGAAGCGTTTCCACTTTGGGGCTGGAGTGAGTGATTCCGCACTGAACATCCATGAACAAATGTTTGTGTGGACATTCTCCTGAGTGTGCACCTAGAAGTGGAGGAGGGTCCTGTCATAGCTCTGTCTAAGGGAGTAGACAAGGTTCCACTTATGCCAGAGTTTGGAGAGTGAGGGACTTGTATATTCTGTGAGTTTAGCCGGCCCCTAATGATAACTTCTGTTACTGTTGTTTTCTTTATTTTCTTTTTAGAAGGAAGAGGTTGTTGTGACTCTGTTACCAGCCGGTCACTGCCCGGGATCAGTTATGTAAGGGGGCCCATCTGTTTGCATTTCTTTCTATGTAAATACATGTTCTATTTGTAGAGATAACTTTTAGGGTCTAAAGGTAGTATGTGTGCAGAGACAGATGCTCTTTCTGGCAGTGTCTTTCATCTTTATCTCATAGTTGAGCTTGGGAAACTGCAATAAAGACCACACGGAATGCGGCTTTCTCAGTGTCTTAATTGTATTTCTCCTGTGACTTTGGAGTGTCCTATCACCTGTGTTTTTCCTCCCTGAAATGGAATGATTTGAGTGTATATACGAAGTGCTAGACTCTCATAGGCCGTCCCCCGTAGGGTTCAGCACCATTCCCATCCTGATGTTTTGTCGTATTTGATTGTAGTTAGTTTTTGCTATTCCTGGGAAAGGTGGCAGTTACTCGGACTTAGCACCTCACTCTAAGGGTTCGTGTCTGAACTTTGCTTGCTTTCTTAGGACTTTGTGATTTGAAGTCACTGAGATCCACTTATTTTTCAGGTTTTTATTTCAGGGAAGGAATGGAACTGTCTTATATACAGGAGACTTCAGACTGGCGAAAGGAGAAGCTTCCAGAATGGAGCTTCTGCACTCTGGGGGCAGGTATAGGGCCGCCTGTGATTCTTGGCTGTGTAGTTTGAATATACATGTATGGGTGCGTGTGCATGAGTAGAGGTGTATGAGCATGTGTGCATGAACATGTCTCCATCATTTCAAGGTTCTGTTGGCTTAGAAATTAACTTGATTACAAAAGTTGTAATAAAGCCAGGTGGTGATGTACACCTTTAATCCCAGCACTTGGGAGGCAAGTGGATCTCTGAGTTTGAGAACAGCCAGGGCTACACAGAGAAAACCTGCCAAAACAAAACAAAACAAAACCTTATAATAGTAGAGCACATTTCTCTCATGCAGTGTTCTGTACACTGATTGGAATGGAATGATGAAGACATGAATTGATAGAGGTCACTGGATCGGGCATGCAAAAATCAAGAGTTTTAAATTTTGTGTGTGTGTATGACAGACGGAGAGAGAGAGGAGAGGAGGGAGGGAGGGGAGGGGAGGAGAAGAGAAGAGAAGAGCGGAGAGGAGAGGATAATTTCTGGGAGTCAGTTTTCCTCTCACCACATGGGCCTAGAGACTGAACTCAGGCTGTCAGGCATGGTGAAAGTGCCTTTACCCACCAAGTCATTTCTCTGATCCAAAAATCTTTTTTATTTTATTGTATGGAAATTGTTTTCCAGTAACATTAATGAACAAGATATTTGAAAGTGGAATGGAACACCCTCAAAAACAACTGAGGGTCTGCATCATTTTATACACAATTATATCCCATGAAATGGCTAACACTATTTAATTTCCTTCTTTTCAGAGTAAAAGACATCCAAAGTGTATATTTGGACACCACTTTCTGTGACCCAAGGTTTTACCAAATTCCAAGTCGTGTATGTTTGCCCGGGGTGACGGGTCTGCCCGGGGTGACGGGTCTGCCTGGACTGTGGCCATCTGTCTTGTTGGGAGGGTGTAGCTGCTCCTTTGGGTATCATTGCCTCTGAATGTTGAAGAGCCTAGAAAAAGTTTATGTGAGTTTCTTCAAAGGATGCAATTTTGTTGGTGTCTAGGAGGAGTGCTTAAAGGGGATTTTGGAGCTGGTTCGAAGTTGGGTCACTCGGAGTCCGAACCACGTCGTGTGGCTGAACTGTAAAGCAGCTTACGGCTACGAGTATTTATTCACCAACCTGAGTGAGGAGCTAGGAATCCAGGTACGGGAGCAGGGAATTCCTTCCCTGTCCTCTCCTCCCACAAGTAACTGAAAACAGGGGTGGGTGGGAGCAGTTTGCCAAGACACAGCTGCATCAGAGGCTGGCCCCTCAGAGCTCACCTCATCTTTACAGGTACGTGTCCTCAGTGTCCCGGAGGCAAAAAGTGTGGGTTATGAAGTAAATATAACAGTTGGGATCAGTATCAAAAGTAAACTTGAACCAGGTGGTATACGGGTAATTGTTTGCAGTTAAGTCTTAACAGTGAAAATTTACTTAGGGGGTTGGAAATACACGTATACACATGTTATGTATGTATGTATATTTCTCTGTGACTGTGTGTTGACCACATTGTTATGGATATCGTACTTCCTGCTTTGGGTCATGGTCCACAGCACATGAAGAACCTTGTCCTGGATCTGGTCAATGTTGGGAGTTCCCACTTGTCCCTTTTATTTTTAATTTTTCTAATTATTTATATATTATTTATATAGTATTCTGCCTCCATGTGTGCGTGCATGCCAGAAGGGGGCACCAGATATCACTATAGATGGTTATGAACCACCGTGTGGTTGCTGGGAATTGAACTCAGGACCTTTGGAAGAGCAGCCAGTGTTCTTAACCTCTGAGCCATCTCTCCAGCCCTCACTTGTTCCTTTTAGCTGTTTCCTTCCCAGTTGGTTGATGCTGGACTCTCAGGCCAGAGTGGAAGGGCCTGGAGTATGGTGGCTGTTGAGCTAACACCCCTCTGCCTTCCCAGGCACGGAGAGGTATCTGCCACTTTTGTCTCTAAGAGAAGATGGATTTAAAATAATTGCGCTATATATAATGAAATGAAACATTGGGGCCAGTTGGACACTTTCAGTTGTGTAGTGTGTCTTTTTTAAATTGTGTACTTCTAAATGTAGAGCCACAGCTAACAGATCTGTACCCAGATCTTAGCAGCGCCTCAGCAATGTTGAAGTTACCTCGTTTGTCTGAGGATGTATCTTATTGGCAAAGCACTCACTCTGCATGCATGGGCCCTGCTTTCTGTCCCCAGCACCAGAAGAAAAAAAAAATGTAGTTTTTCTGTGTTTGAAATTATAAAGTTCTTCCCTTCTCTCTGCCTATTCTTCCTTTCAAAGTATTTATGTAAGTCCTTTTTTTGCCAAATATTTTTGATATAAAGTTGTTATTCATTTTGAGAAGGATTTTTTTTTTTTAATTTTGGGATTACTCTACCTATGCTTTGATGTTAAAATGGCTTTTTAAGCAGGGTGGTGATGGTACACGCCTTTATATATATCCTTTTGAATTAAAATCACAGAACACACACACTTATACAAATACGTGTACTTATCTTTATTACCTGTCTTTTAATTTTTTTTTTTTTTTGCCTTATCTCTGTAATCTATAAAGGTGGCAGCTGTTTGCCTCCCCTAAAACTGTGGTATAATTTCAGAGGTGTGTGAAGAGAGGAAGCCACTGCTCTGAGCCCCAGGGGAAGAAGCCAGGGCCAGAGGTGGGCTTTAGGGAGAGCATTTGATGGTGACCCAATTTCCTTAAGTCCCTTTGCCAGAGACGGGGACAATTATAGATCAGGGGTTCACAAAGAGGTACCTCAAGGCTAATCTGCAGCTACCTTTCCAGCCATGCCCATGAGGCCTCTCTTCATGCAGCTCACTTTGTCTCTTTCCCGTTTTCCTTAGAGAGTCTGGACTCATCATTACTTCTTTCTTCATTTTTATCTTTTCTGGTTCCAAGTGCTGGTTTCTTTCTTTTTCTTTCTTTCTTTCTTTCTTTCTTTCTTTCTTTCTTTCTTTCTTT